AGTTGATTCCAACTCAGTGACCCTATAGGAAAGAGTAGAATTGTCCCCATCAGGTTTCCAAGGCTGTAAATCTTTACAGAAGCAGATGGCCACATCTTTCTCCCACGGAGTGGCTGGTGGGTTCAAGCCACCGACCTTTCTCTTAGCTGAGCGTGTAACCACTACGCCACCAGAGTAGTTTAAAAATGTCATTTATCCTGTTTCTTTCTACACTTCTTGGGAAACAAGGCAATGGCAGAAAAGGAGCAGAAACAATCAAAATGTGTAACCAGATTCTGAAACGGTGTAACAGCAGGAGAGAGTAACAGTTCCTAAGCCTCGTGCCACTCGGGAGAACAGATAGTCCACACTATAGCACAGGGGTCAGCCAACTTTTCATGTAGAGGGCCAGATCTGCTGTTGTAACACAAAAGGAGACACAGACAATATGCAAACATTTGGCTCCCAGGCAGTACTCTGATGACCCCTGATCTAGAAGTACCCACCTACCGCCCTTGACAGAATAGAACTGCCCCATAGGGTTTCCAAGGTTATAATCTTTATGGCCAACACCGTAATTCAAATGCATCAATTCTTCTTCAGTCTTCCTTATTCATTGTCCAGCTTTAACATGCATATGAGTTGACTGAAAATAATCATGGCTTGGGTCAGGTGCACCTTAGTCCTCAAGGTGACATCTTTGCCTTGTAACACTTTAAAGCAGTCTTTTGCAGCAAATTTGCCTAATGCAGTATGTCATTTGATTTCTTGACTGTAGATCCAAGTAAAATGAAATCCTTGACAACTTCAATATTACCTCTGAAGAAGAAATGATGCATTTGAATTATGGTGTTGGTGAAGAATATTGAATATACCACAGACTGACAGAAGAACAAATCCTGTCATGGAGGAAGTACAGCCAAAATGCTCCTTAGAAGTGAGGATGGCGAGACTTCGTCTCTTGTACTTTGGACACGTTATCAGGAGGGACTAAGTCCCTGGAGAAGGATATCATGCTTGGTAAAGTAGAGGAAGAGTTAAAAAGAGGAAGACCCTCAACAAGATGGACTGACACAATGGCTGCCGCAATGGGTTCAAACATAGCAATGATTGTGAAGATGGTGCAGGACCAGGCAGTATTTTGTTCTGTTGTACACAGGGTCGCTATGAGTTGGAACTGACTCAACGGCACCTAATGCCAATTATAATTTACAGAAGCAGACTACCACATCTTTCTCCCGTGGAGCGGCTGGTGGGTTCGAACTGACAATCTTTCATTTAGCAGCTGGGTGCTTAACTACTGTGCCACCAGGGCTCCTCATCTGGAAGTACAGAGGGTCTTTAAAGAACTAATAAGGACACCATGGGAGCCTGTAACAGAGGCATCTAACCTGGTTTTGAAAAAAATGACTAAACAAAGACCTGAGGAGTGAGAAATGGAGGAGCTGGTCTCTCTGGAGATGGCTGGGGGAGTAGTGGTGCTGTTCTTCTCCAGCACCAGGCCCACCATATGCTGTGGTAGGAACAGAGAGGGCCAGTTTGGGGAGAGGGAGAATGGTTCACGAGTCATAGGTGAAATCATAAGGTTCTTTGTACGGTAAGTTAAAGATTCTGGACTGTATCCCAAAGGTGCTGGGAAGCCACTGTAGGGTTTTAACAGAGAAGAGGCTTAAGGTACTTGCTAACTTAACAAATATTTAATAACTGCCTATTATATGCTCCCCTGAGTGGTGCAAACAGTTAATCTGCTTGGCTGCTAACCAAAAGTTTGGAGGTTTGAGTCTTCCCAGAAGAAGAAAGGCCTGGCGATTTAATTCTGAAAAATCAGCCATTGAAAGCCCTATGAAATGTGGTTCTACTCTGACACACATGGGGTTGCCATGAGTCGGAATCATCTCAACGGTAACTGGTTAACTGGTTACTACATGTCAGGCATGTGTAAGACAGACAAGGTCCTTGTCCCTAGGACACTCGTTTTATGATATAGAAGACAAACTACAAATAAAATAAACCTTGCTACAAGCACTACAAAGGAAATAAATGGTACTAATTAGATAGGGTGGGCACCTCTGAGAGTATGAATTTAGGATGAGATGTAAAAAATGGGTAGGTTATGGCATGCAGAGCCAGAGGAAAAGGTTCTTTGTAGAAAAAGCAAGCTAGAAATGGCATATGGTAGGTGATATCCCAAGGCCAGTGTGACTAGAGTATGGTGAACGCAGACAGAAGAGGGAGGAAGCGCCTGCTTAAGCAGAGCTGTGAAGGCCATAGAAAGCCACTGAAGCTTTAAGCTGGGAAATGACATGATCTGACCTGACATGATCTTGCTACATAGACTGTGGACTGGAAGGGGATTTGAGTAGACTGAGGATGCCACTGTGGTGGCCTAGGCAAAAGACAGTGGCATGGAATAGGATGGTGGCAGTGAAGATGGAGAATGGAAGACAAATTTGGAGGTAGAAGTGACAGGACTTCTTGAAAGACTCGGGGGTTGGGAGGAATGGTAAGGGAGAAGCATCACAGATGATTCCCAGAGGTCTGGTTTTGGTAACCGTGTGGATGTGAGTGCCACTTAGTGAGATGGGGGAAGACCAGCCACAGAAGGATGAGAAAAAACAAATTTTCATTTGGTTATGTTGGATTTGGGGTCACCATGATTCAGAATTGACTCAACAGTAACAGGTTTATGTTAGATTTGGGATATCTAAGAAACAATCAAATGGAGATATAAAGCAGGCATTCTGATGTATGATTCTGGAACACAGAGGAGAGAGAGCTGGGCTAGAGACTTAAATTTGGTAATTACCAGGTATCAGATCATAACTAAGCTCATGAGACTGGATCACCTAAGGAAAGCTCCTATATAGAAAAGAGGACTTAAGATTAAACCCTGAGTGAAGCTCACCATTTAGACATTAAGTAGAGAGCAAAAGTGGTTAGCAAACAAGACTGAGAGGGAGCAGCCAGAGAAATGGAGAAAATCAGGAGCGGGGTATCAATGAGGCAAGAGAGCGGAGTTTCAAGGTAAGAGTAACTGTGCTGAATGTGCCATAGACTAAAGAAAATGAGAACAAAGTATCCATTCGATTTGGCAACTGATGATCCTAACAAAAGCCATTTTAACCAGAGGAGTCAGAAGAGAAGCCAGAGTAGAGTAGACTGAGGAGTTAATAGCTGAGAAAAGTTGGGTTGGCAGAGGTAGAAATCTGGCTATGAACGAAAATTAAAAAAGTGGGACGGTAGTCGGAAGGGGATGCAAGGGACATCAGAACATAATTTCTATGCTGATGGAACACATTTTTAAGAGATAGAAAAACCAAAAAGATTTGGCAACTGATTGTATTTGGGGAATAACGGACAGGAAGAAGCCAAAGACTATACGTAGGTGGTGCCATTTACGGCGACCAAGGACAGAAGAGCAAGGGCAAATTTATTTGCCTCCAAAGATCATGTTTCCATCATAGTGGGTAGGCTTCCTGTCTTGTGAAGGAAGCCTCCGGAAGGAGACCTGTGAAATGAGGCTGAGCTTCTCTAGACATCACCACTTCCTGAAGTGATTATGGTGTAACAATACCATGCTAATCCAATCTAGTACCCACCCAAGCCAATTACATAAAAATGGACCTGTATTAGCTGAAGGGACATAGGTCATGAAAAAAAGAAAACAAAAAACAGTTGTCCTCCAGTTCACTATGACTCATGGTGGCACGATGCTGTCAGAGTAGAACCACGCTCCATAGTCTTCAATGGCTGATTTTTCAGAAGTAGATTGCCAGGCCTTTCATCCAAGGCACCTCTGGGAGGACTTGAACTTCCAACCTTCGATTAGCAGGCGAGCAGTCAACCATTTGACCACCCCAGGACTCCACGGATAGGGACCTAAATTCACAGCTGATGGGGGAACAACCACGCTTTTGTAATCAGTACACTGAAGACTTACGTACTGATAACCTTCAGACAAACAGCGCAACTAAAGCTTTTTTCTGAAGAACTGAATCACATTCAATATTACTTACAGTGATGTAGCTTAATAGTACTATCTTGCTATCTCTGATACTACAGTGAATTTCCCCTTAAGCATTTTCAGACAGGTTAGGCCTCTCCTAAAGAAAAATAAATCAGTTCTGGTTACAACCCAGGCACATGAACCGCTCCAGCTGATTCAAAAGAGTGCTTGGAGAACAAAGCAGAAACTAGAAGAAGAAAAGTTTTGGCTTAACAGTCCATTCTGATGTTCTGGTAGGCGGCTAGCAAATGTTTGAGGAAATGAGTCAGTGGTGAATAAACGGGCTTTAGGAACTTCCAGGACATCTCTGGTCTTTAGAAAGGGCTGAAAGATGCTGACATTCTACAAAAAGTTCTAGTTTAACTACCCAACACGGAAAAGGCTGAAATTTGGCATCGCCCTCCAGCCTTATGGCTGAGCGGCTGAAAGCTCCGTCAGATTCACATCCCTAGGGTAAACAATTCGATCACTTGATCCTGGCTCAGAAGCCCTAAGTCCCTTCCATTCCCAATCCTTTCGCGTGGCCTAGTTTTCAGAAGCTGCAGAGAGAAGCACGGGATCCCAAGAAGCCTGTTGATTCAACTGGTCGACCAATGCGCAGGTCGCCTGTGCTATCGGGTTGGTAAAAGCTTTGAGACTCTAAGCAACTACCCGGCTTTCCTCCAGCCTCCTTAACCTCCACCTTCACCCTCCCCGCCGCCTAGAACAGGGAAGGCCAGGGCCCCTCTTCTTCCCGCATACGGCTCCCCAGTGCCTCTTCCCTAACCGGGCCAGGCCCTAGGAGCCCGGTTTCCCCCCGACCCACGCGAGAAACGGACTCTCTAGTCTGAGCTTTACCTGCCTGAATCCCGCCGCTTCTCAGGTACGCTAAGCCCCCACCGAGGAAAATGGAGTCGTCGAACCGAGACTGGGAAAGGATAGTACGGACCTACCGCACGGCCCCTCCACCGCCACCGCCGCCGCTGCTGCTGCGTCAACGTGCTACATCACTTCCGGTCCCCTGTCACTGGGTGTGGGCGGGTCATTTCTTGCTCTCTTCTCCCACCAGGCTCTCGGCCTTCGTCCGTGAAGGCGAAAGTTGGCAGAAACGGTTCAGGAAGACAGCTGTCACAGAGTTCCGGGAGCCGAGCGAGGGGATCGGAAGCAACCAGTCCCAGCCCTTTCCTCAGGCCACTCTAGCCAAAGGAACCATAAAGCCGAGAACTCGGCCTTCTTCGCTTCCTCCTCTCCGCTGTTCCGCTGCAGCTTCCGGTTCCGGGGAGGGGGCCGGGTTTTCTTCCAAGATAAGGACCGCGTATCCAGTCAGGATGGCTGTGGTACCGCTGCTGTTGTTCGGGGGTTTGTGGGGCGCTGTGGGAGCGTCCGATCTGGCTGTCGTTACATGCGGTTCTGTGGTGAAGCTACTCAATACGCGCCACAACGTCCGGCTGCATTCACACGACGTGCGCTATGGGTCAGGTACTGCAGGGGACCGGGTTCGGGTGGGCTGGGGAGGCCTAGTAGGCTCCGGAGGGGGTGGGGCCTAGAGAAAATCCGAGGGGTGTGGTCTGGGAGCGTTAGGTGTGCCGGGAGGAGGCTCTTGAGGTCTAGAGGCGTCCAGTCGGGAGCATTGAACTGTTCCAAAGCATCTTAATCATACTAGCTTCTATCTTGTGAGCTACATGCCAGGCACGTTACGTATGTATTTTTTTCGATTTTTGACATTACTCTGAGTTAGATACTATTATCCTCATTTTACAGATGAGGAAACAGACACTTAGAGAAATTAAATCTCTTGCTCACAGCCTTGCAGCTGGTGAATGGCAGAGGCAGGGTTCGATCCAAATCTGTTCACCTTTAAAGCCTGCTTTCAACTACTCCAGGGTGGCACTACTCAGTGCAAGAGAGACAGATAATGTAGACAGTTAAAGTCAGTGCTGTATCTCTGAAGTTTTGAACTCCAGAAGTCCATTCTCTGACCACAACTCTCTGGCCTTCCAGTTCCTTTGCATCTTACATTTGATGTTCAACTTCTGTCCTTCAACTTCTATCCCCTTTTTACTGGGACCTTTCCCTGCTTCTTGTAAAGAACTTAAACTAGAGCAGTGACAGGAATTGGGCGAGAAACTGTTTAGAGGGCATTTTATCATGAAAATAAAATGCTTAGTAATCAATTATTTATGGTTTTATTCATTCAGCATAAATATAATGAGCTCCTACTATGTTCCTAGTTTTGTTCTGGATCCAAGAGATAGAGTAGTGAGCTAGTTAAGCAAGGTACAAAAAAAAAAGAGCAGTTCAGCTAGTGAGATGTGAGAGGCACCCAAGATGACTGCTAGAATTCTGCCTTGGATGACTAATGATGCTATTAGCTGAGAGTGGAAGGAGTCCCTTTCAGCTGGGCTTGCCTGTGGTTCATAGTCCCCAAACCTGTCTGACCAGTTAGACTAGGAGAGGAACTGAGTTATCATTGTTGGGATGTCTTAATCCTAGCAACCATTGAGTGAACACCTACTGTGTGTTAGGCATATTACTTTTTTATTTAATCTGGTTTCTTACTTTGGATTTACTGAGTCAGAATTGGGGTGGAGAGAGGCCTGCCAGTAGGAATCTATAGGATTTAAAAGCTCTTCAGGTGTTTCTTATGGGCAGCCAGATTTGGGAACCAGTTTCAGTGCAGAGTCCAGAAGAGAGACATCTGTGCTGAGTCTGAGATACAGAGTAAAATACATCATCATTATACAGATGGTGGTTGAAAATGTGATGGGAGTGGATGAGCTTGTCCAAGATGAACTGTGGTTCTCAATGTAGTGTCAGTTTGAATCACTTGAGAAACTTGTTAAAAATATAAATTCTTTTGTTCTGATAACCCAACAAATATTTAGGAACTGTTGATAGAAAAGGATGAGGACCAGCAATAGAACTCTAGGTAATGTCAAGGTGTAAGGATGAGGAGAAGAAGTGATAGGGTAAACAGTAAGTGAAAAAGGAGGAGACAGAAAGTGTAGACCACGATTTAGTGAAGCATAGCTGTGAGGACTAAGAGACCTGTAAGGGCGCCATCTAAGGATAGTGTTTGGGAAGTATGAAGTGCCTTCGAAGAATTGAGCGGAGCCCTGGTAATGCAGTGGTTAAGAGCTTGGCTACTAACCAAAAGGTCAGCAGTTCAAATCCGCCAGCCACTCTTTGGAAACTCTTTGGGGCAGTTCTACTCTGTCCTTATGGAGTCACTATTAGTCGGAATTGACTTGATGGCAATGAGTTTGGTTTGGTTTTAATGAGATCTCGGGAAAACAATATCCCTGGAGTTTATGTGAGAGAGTAGCCTGTTTGGAGGGAACTTGACAGAAAATAAAGCTGGAGGAGGAAAAGTGATCTTAATGGAAGGCCATGTGGTGTTGGTTAAGTGTGAGTTCGAGTCAGGTTGCTTAGGTTCAAACCCCAGCCCTGTCCTTTGGAGCTGCATGACCTTGGGTATGCTACTTAGCCTAACACTCTAGTGTAAAATGGGGATAATGATAATACCTACCTCAAAGAATAGATACCTGTATCAAATAAGAATATCCAGGTAAAGGGCTTGGGTAGGTACCTGGCACTATGTGGGTACTCAGTACACATTACCTATCTAGTAATTATTGTTTAACTTGCAGAATTGCACCACTTTAGGCAGCATGAGCCAAGTTTAGATAACTGAAGAGTACTTTTACAATATATATTGATAGACCATTCACAGGAGTTTGGGAGCTGCAATGGCTGCTTAGATTAAAGTTGACAGCAAAGAATTATCTCATCTTAATTGTGAAATTTGATAAAAATTGTGACTGTAAAATGTGGTAAATCCAGGCTAGTGTAGACAGGTAAGCACTGCCTGTGCTTCAAAAACATATTTATGTTATCTAGTGCTCTTTAATGCAGATTCTTGAAATTTTATGATATGGCACACTTTAAAGTATAATTTATCATACAATAATTAGTACTGTACAAATACGTGTAGTATTTTTCGTACGTATTTTAATGTTTTAGAAGAAAGAATATTACCAAGCATAGAATTTCCTCCCCACCTTGCCATACCCATTTATGATGCAGAACACTGTATTGTCTTTAGGAAGGAGAAGGATCAGATTGAGCTTACTGTCCTTCCTTTTTTTGACTGCAGGTAGTGGGCAGCAGTCAGTGACAGGTGTAACCTCTGTGGATGACAGCAACAGTTACTGGAGGATTCGTGGGAAGACCACCACAGTGTGTGAGAGGGGAACTCCCATCAAATGTGGCCAACCCATCCGGCTGACACATGTCAACACTGGCAGAAACCTCCACAGTCACCACTTCACCTCACCTCTTTCTGGAAACCAGGTGAGATGGCATCGGTGCTGCTTTGTACCTTACTCATTTGGGTGGTTATTTGGTCTTTTTGTTCTTCGCTGTTTCTTTTCCAGGTGTAGACGTTCTTTTCTGTGCCCACTGGAGACCCCTGGTGGCACAGTTGTTAAGAGCTCGGCTGCTAACCAAAAGGTTGACAGTTTGAATCCACCAGCTGCTCCTTGGAAATCCTATGAGACAGTTCTGCTTTGTCCTGTAGGGTTGCTGTGAGTCGGAATCGACTCGACAGTAATGTTTTTTTTTGGATTAAGTACAAAGAGAGTTGTTTCTGGTCAAAATGGAAACTCTAAATCTAGACCAAATCAAGAAATGGGAAGGAAAAACAGAGTAGATATATATTAGCATATTCTATATCTGATAAATCCTGCAACGAAGAAACCCAGTGCTTTCCAAACTTATGATAAAGGTTATTATTAATTAATTTATTTTTAATAATGCCAGCTAACCATCCCGAGGAACCAATCTATAGGATATCCTTTGGAAACCTCCATATTAGGAAAACAAACTAGGCATTATATCATTTTTTTATTTAAACTTTGAGCTTTCAGGGGACGTTGGCCCCCTAATGAACCCCTTAGTGACTTCTTCCCCCCTCCCCATCTCCATCCTGCACGCAGTTTCCCCTATTATTAGCATCTGACGTTGTTGTTGGATGACGTCGAGTTGGTTCTGACTCATAGTGACCCTGTGCACCACAGAACGAAACACTGCCCGATCCTGCGCCATGCTCAAATCGTTGTTATGCTTGAACGTATTGCTGCAGTCACTGTCAATCCATCTTGTTGAGGGTCTTCCTCTTTTTTGCTGACCCTGTACTTCACGAAGCGTGATGTCCTTCTCCAGGGACTGATCCCTCCTGACAACATGTCCAAAGTATATAAGACGTAGTCTTGCTGTCTTTGCTTCTAAGGAGCATTCTGGTTGTACTTCTTTCAAGACAGATTTGTTCCTTCTTTTGGCAGTCCATGGTATTTTCAGTATTCTTTGCCAACA